TTTGCTTCTGATTATTGAGGTGACCATATCTAATATGTACCTCTTAAGCATAATCATCCCCTGAAGGCAAACATATTCAGATGAAGAGAACATGGAACAAGGATGTATGAAAGTCAAGATAATATTGAGTTAAAAAAGGGAATTCACCACCCTCCATGATCTTACCTGAAAAATGGACTCAACAAAATTTCCCAGCGAAACTTCTTACTCTTGAAAAAAAAATACTACTTTGTGAGACTTTATCTATTTGACTGAAATTCCAACTGGAAAATACATTAGAAGTATTTAAATATTTCTAAAAGACTATGAGAGTTTAAAACATTTTAATCCTTACTCAGTACCAAACTAAATTTTAACTTCCATCTGGGGAATAGCAATATCATGTTTTAGCTTGTTCTAGTCAAAGCAGTGCTAAACAGATAAAACAGGAACTTGCAATTTCCTCCCCCTGTAAAGGTGTTGGTCGTTCAGTAGAGGCATATTCCTGATCACATTTTTTTTCTCAGAAGTGAAGGTTGTAATTTAAAACAAAAAAAAAAAACAACCAACACTGAGGCAAATCCATAAAGTGGATCGCTGTAGAGTATGGAGAAAATGACCTTCCGAAGTTAAAGGAGAAGCTGAAATAGCCAATAATTGAAATGTCATAGGAGGAACTGATCTGGTAAGAAAAAGCAAATATTTAAAGATGAGAAATATTTAACAAGTCACTGGATTAATTCCTCTGCCAAGTTCATCAGACGCAAATATATTTCTATTTGATGTCAGGGACATCAGGTAGAATCTGACTAACCTTATGGGCATAAAACAACCTTGGAGGCCTCTTTAGCCCAGAACAGTTTTAATGCAAGAGTCCTGTCAGTGAATGTATATTTTTCAGTGAGGTAGATCCACCTTGGTGTTGAAGACAATTGCATTTTATAAAATAAAGTTATAATTGCTGTACAAATAACAACTCATTCTTCCACCCTTTACTGCTTGGTCTGAAGGAGCTGCTGCTCCTAGCAGAATCCAGCTCTTTTATTTCAATGAGTCCCAGTGCTAAGTATGAGATACTCCTGCCACTTGACACACACGAAATTTATGTCCCTTCAGGGAGCTGTTCTCAGTTTTGCTCTTCTCCTTCACCGGTTTCTCACCATCTCTCCTCCATGGAAATATTGTCGCGATTAAGCCAACAATCACAAATTAAAATTAGATTGAGATTTCAAGGTGATTCCTTCTCTGTTTTCTTTATCACCAGCCTAATTGCACAGGCTTAGCAAAGGGGCATATTTTCATGTTTTCCATCCACTGATTCAAACTGCAGCATCCCTCAAATTGTGAACAGCCTCATATGCAAAAGGTTGGGTCTTAGAGGGACATAATTTCATTAAAAGGCTGGGAATAGGTCTCCAGACCGAGTCTGTCTATGCAATGCTTTGAAATGATTAAGAATTCCTGTTCCTCCTAATTCTTCCTAATGACACAGTGGGATTGAAGCTGTTCAATGGAGAGTAGCCAGTGCCCCAGCGAAGACGGATGGACGGCTCCTGCTCAGTGCTCAGTACCTCCCTCCCCATTCTCTCGAAGCAGCCATGATCTCAGAGAGTGAAGTCAATGAAATGGGGCTGCACCCCTCGTTACTGACCAAAGCACTCGCAGAGGCTCCTGGAGGACCGCTGGCTGGTGGGGGATGTGGCAGGGGAAAGCCTCAGTTGCTATTATTTTTACTAATATCTGAAGAGTTCATCTTCAGTGCCTCTTTCATTGGACTAGCTTGTGGAACTAATTTCTCCATTAAATAGTGTAAAACCTTAGCCATATATTTCAGGTCAGTCTGAATTTTATCTTTGTGTGTACTACTTTTAAGAAGAAAGATAAACACAATAATCAGGTCATTTGACATGGCAGAGTACACACACTCCTAATAATATTAATGACAACGTCTGTTTCATTATGTAAAATGAAAAAGATGATTTGTTTATGTTTACAGTAGCCCGTGATTTAATTTATACACAACTGAATTGGTTAAATTTACAGTTTAAACAGTAGATCATCTGTATATACATCCTGTATTTGGACAGCTCTTATATTATTGTTATATTGATAAAATTAATGTATTAAAGGAATACATAAAGCCCAGCCTAAGCTTGTTCATTGAGCACTCAACACATGGCATTTTAGTGACTGAAAGGGGAAAAAAATTAAACAATTTGCATACTTCAGTACTGTAGCAAATGACTGCACTGACAAGGTCACCATGCTAAATTGACATCATCCACACCACATCCAACTTCTAAAAATCCTCCAATATTTGCATGGTGATGCCTGTGAAATCCTCATTAAGTGTCAGACTCTTAGGGGTTTTTTTACCTCTTGCCTATTTAATAAGCAATTTTATTTTTTTTTTTTTAAATTAAGAATTCTGTATGCTTTTAATTTACAAGGGGAAAAAAGCCTGAGTGCTCTGTTTTGTTTGTGGTAACATGGCTGGCTGTATAAAACTCCATTTCTTCCTCTACTACATACATAATTGTAATTCCAAAGGTAACTCTCATTGAATCAGATAACTAGCAATTTCTTTTGTAATCAGAACCTAATTAGGTTGTTGTTTACAGTATAAGTGATCAATAGCTTTTATTCTGGATCACAGTGTCAAAGCTCTCATAAATGGTATTAAATGTAATAGAGATACTGTAATCAAACAAAATGTAAAAAATATTCAAAAAGTATGTACTGTACTGGGAGGCTATTAAAATTCCCGATTCTGCTTAAAATGTTTAATGTGCTGAATACAAATGATATTTTAAAGGAAGCTTTGTGGATCAAAGATGGATTTAATAATTGTAATGTTTATGAATTTGTTTTGAAAATATTTTTAATTGGATAATGTCAGACTTTTGAATTATAATGCTATGTTCATTAGCATTTCAATAGGTTATATTATCAACTCCTTCTGACATTAAAATAATTTGATTTATTTTTTTAAATCATGAATCTCGAAATCTTTTTTTCTGTTGTCACTAGTTTTCAATAATTTGGTAAGCTTCTACAAGAAGAGCAACAGGAACCACATGGGCTTTGCTGGTAATGATGTGCTATATATTTCTTCTTCGAAAGCAGCTCTGACACCTTTGAAAGTAATTTTCAGTTTCTTATCAGTACAGAAATAAAGAGTAATATTGTCTAATTTGTTATGTTCAGTGGCACAGAGTATCCTAGACTTCTATCACATACACAGTGCTTTGAAACCTGTATTTTTTGACCATAATCAAGAGTACGTAAGTGAATTTCAGAATTTATGAAAGTGTTTATTATTAGCTAAGAAAAAGCTCAAAAGATGAACTTGTTAATAGGTTTAATAATCTCTTAGTAAGATGTGTCTTTTGCACACTTCCAAACTTCATTGCAGTTGATAAAACAGTAATTTGTACTTTATAGTTGTATTGCAAATAACTGATTTGGGCATTTCAGAGCAGGCCTGGGCATAATTGCATAAGTCTCAGTGTAAATCTGTAAATTCAACATGATGAACTCCTTGCTTGGTGAAGTTATCTATCTTCTACTTTCACTAGAAACAAAAACTGATTACTGTTGATCATTTAGACATAACTGCCTGTAACAGTCAACAAGCCATCACAGTAAGGTATAAAGACAGCCCTTAGGAGAAATGCTGCCTATTTGATGACATTTAAAGCTTTAAAGAATTCCTTCTAGATATCGCAGAAAATCATCATGAGCCAGCACAGGCTGTCAATGTCACTGAATGAAAACCAAAGCGATCAGATCATGTATACCGGCAATATTGCCATCCCAGCCATTAAAGCAATTTATGGAACTGGTCTTGCAAACAGTTCATCATGTCAGCAACGCCAAGGTCTGCCGCAGGAGCTACTGTCACATGGGTGAGCGTGCATGATGCTGCCTTGTAATTGGATCAACCATCTTTTTGTGTAGATTTTAGCAATCTAAGAAATAAAACAGTTTAAATTATTTCCGACTACCTCTTTTCCCCCTACAATGTTGTGATAAGTAAGGCATGAAGTTCCTGTAACTTTTTTGAGCTGACATCTTCAGCTATGTATAAACAGATAATGCTGTTTTAGTAGAGCAAATAAATGGTATGTCATTTTTATTAAACAAACAGTATAATAACTGGACAGTATTATCACAATGGAAGCATAGAAGACCATAGACTGTACAGCTGAAATCCTGTAGCAAAATTTGTTTCTACTGCTTATCCTCAAATTTAAAGAAATGTATCTTTATCAAGCTTTCACAATGGCTGCTTCTGGTTGATTTAGAGAATCTTCACCCTTGTTAAGGCTAGATTATAATTAAAAGATAAATGTACTGTTAGAAAGTTCTATTCCACACTCTATTTTTATGAGAATTTAACTGAAAGACGTATATTACACCTGTATGCGAATTATAATGGCTTCTCAGCAGGGAACGCAGAATCACTTACAGTACGTAAACATTTAAAGAGGAAAATGCTAATACACTGAAAGAGTTTAACATCAGTAGCAATTTGTCAAATGAAGAAGTTTCATAAAGTCCACTCTCTGGGAGAACATTCACTGTTAGACAAAAGCTTGGCATCCTTGATAGTCTGAAGTTCAACCAATTTGAAAACCAAAACCATTCAATGAGATAGATAGGATCTTAAGAAAACTGCCATCCTCCTTCCCAGGTAAAAGCCAGAATCAAAATAACCCTTATTAAAATAATCCAACCAGGTCGCTTTACAGGCAAATTTACACTCTGTCTCTTTAAAACACTGCATGCCCAAAAGCCTTTTGGGTTTGGAATGTAGCACTGCACCAAGTATTTCACAAAGCCTCTAAATATCACAAGAAGCTTTCTTAGAGAAAAAAAAAATTCCAGCTGACTGAAACTGTTCTAGCAGGAGTGCCTCAGCTTAGCTCCCAGACCTGGAATTCCAGATAAACAACAGAGGACAGGAAACAGATTTTTTTTTTTTTTTTTTTTTTTTTACACGTCCTTCTGTAATGCAGCTACAAGACGACTGATGAGCTTAGGAACAAACAGAGTGGGAGTGCAAGTGTCATCAGAGTGAGCGGTGTGCTTAGGTAGAAGCTTCTGGGAAGAGCGAGCGAATTCTCCGAAGATATGTGACTGGTGGAGACTCCTGCTGTGTTGTCTTTCCCAATAGCGTTCTGCAAGACACAATACTTTCCTTGGTCACAATTACACATTTTCACTGCAAAATTTTTAAACCTACATCATGAAATTCATCTTTACTTTGTTCGTGTCCACCCTCCACCTATATATCACTGTGAGAAATCAAAAGATACAAAAGGCATAAAAACAGATGTAAAAATGACAGTATTTTAAAGTTAGCTTAAGGGATAAAAACACCAGTACAGCAAAATTTTTTTTTAAAAAAAAAGTATTAAAAAGTCCCTACTTTAGCAGTGGTTCCCTATGTAAACCTACCCTTGTTAAGTCCAGCAATGGTTTTAGTGATCTGTGTTTATCATGCCAGTTTATTTTAAAAAGCAAATACAGGACCCACAGAGAAACTGCAACTTCTGCACAGTCAATGGAGCAACTTTCTTTGGTAACAAGTTATTTCTGGATAACAACAGATAAAATCTAATCCATGGAATCAGAAAAGACAGAGGCTTTTAGCTTATGAAAAATTATCTTTCTCATGCTTTTTTTCCCCTTAATTGCTGCATTATTTACATTCCTTGTCTTCTTTGCTACCAATAATTAAACAGTATTCACATGCAGGTACAGAATGGCAGATTATAGTGAGCTATTTAAGGAGGGGATGCAAATGGAATATTTCTCATGTTATCATCCTCATAAAAAAAAACAAACCAAAACAACCAAACAGGTATAATCACAGAATCACAACAATTTAGACTAGAAGGGACCTCTAAGGTCATTAAATCCAACCTACTCCATGCAAAGTTGCTCAGACCCCACAGAGGGGACAAGCCTCCCCCGGTCCTGAAGGGGCAATGGGCCAAGGTACAAGCTAGAAGTACCCAGAAGAGCAGATTACAAAGAATGAGAATAGAGCATCAGCTTCCACAGGGATGACTGTCTACAGAGCCAGGGAGGCATTCGTGGATAAATCTCTGTGCCCTTCCCTCACTTTGCTATCACCTGCTAGGACTGGCTAACTGAGATGTAAGTTGTTGGAGGTAGTAGAGGCATTGGGGGAATTATCATGATATGCTTTCTTATACTCAGCCCTGGGCATCTGCTTCTTGGAGATTGCCACAGACAGAGTATGGGATAAGATGGACCAGTAGTTCTTACAGTAAGCTACAGTTGCTGGGGCCTTCTTGTGTAAGGTCTTTTAGCCAGCACAAGATGTCAACAAATCTGTTAATGTTACTGCATTGTTCCCTCACATGTTATTAGGCTTCATTCCCGTATCTACAGGAAATTCCTAATAGAATCTAAAGAATTTGGAATGGGATATACAATTGTCATTGTTTAGAAGAACTGTGCAAAGCTGGACTGATGAAGGAGACCCTGAATGATACCATCATGTCCATGTGGTGGCTTATGCCAGTACAGCTGGGCTTGCTCCAGTGCTGAGGCTATGTGCTTCCACATTGCAAAAATTAATTTACGTACATCACTAATTATTAAGCTTCCTGAGAGACTCAGTACAAAGGATATGGACTGACAGACATGGAAACTGATGTAATGTTTATGTCTGAAAGGGGGCCTTGGAGGTCAGGCTGAGCAGACTACTCAAATAGCACTGGGACGTTCATGTCTCCTGGGGCTGTCAATCTGTCTCCTGATGTCGGACCATCATATCTCCTGATATGAACATCATCTCATGCCCTAACCTGGTCATTTTTGTTAGCCACAGAATGATGTCTAGTATGTTTCTGTGTATTTGTTAAAAGCCATATCATCTTGCATTCCCGCAGATTATTAACTAATTATACTTGCTAGGTGCAATGGTAATTACCATGGGATCTGCCTAAACATGTACTACACAGCTATTAAAATAGAAAGTCAGCAGAGGCCACTTTGAGCCCAGCTCCAGATTTCTGAGTAAGATCATTCTTTGATACATTACGTTAACCAAACATAACAATACTAACAAGACTTTAATGTGAGATAAGCCCATCATAATCTTGATAGACTTTGAACATTTTATATTATGGGGAGGGACCTGTGCTATGAAATGTACAGGACCCACACTCTTACCTCATTAAGACAGAGCTCTGTATCTACAGATTCGTTGGATTTCCGCTTCTTCTGTGCCTATGAACAAATGGAACATTTATTCCCTGTACAATTTACACATACAGCAGCACAAAACAATTAGATACATTCACATGGGTTGTCATACTCCTATAATTTTGACAATGATTTGCACATGATTAGCAAATAAACTCTCCAAATGTAACTGCATGTTTTCCAAAACCATTCACATTCTGATTTGAATTTACAGCAAAACTTCAAACCGTCAGCTAAGGGTACTTAGTGATTAAAATCATGAGTGCCATCAGCTGCAGAGAACATGTTATATTCTGCGGCCCCTTAAAAATGGTGCTGGATGTTCATGAAAAGAAATGAAATAGGACAGTTAATAATGACCATAATACTACCGCATATTAGCAAAAAATCTATCATATGTCTCAGTTTTAGGAAAACATACAAGCCAGGCGTATCTTATCCTTGATGATTCTTGTAATTTCTCCATGTACTATTATGAAAATATAATTTTAACGCATTGCATGGCTGCCACAGAGTCTCTTCTAGAAAGTTACAAAAAGAACATGCAATATCTTTAAAACTATATACCTGTAATTCAAATTGAGCTGTTTGTTTACATTGTGTTCACTGATTATTATACATGGAATATTATTAAATGCAGGAATATTTTAGAAGATCAAAGACTAAAAAAAAATGAATCTTTTATATCTTCAGCCATGTCTTACGATGAGCGCCCATCTGTTGCTATTACTCTGTGCTCTCCACACTGACTCAAGTAAGAAACATTTCTGGTGGCAGCATCATACAAAATGAAAGCAATAGCATGCGCTCTGTCTAGCATCATAAGGTGCTTAATATTTCCATTGCTCAAGTGAACATGACTGGGCTGGGAGTTTTCTGCTTTTCTATAATAGCAATAGCAATCCCCATGGTGCTGAAGATATTTTCAACAAATGGTGCTGTGGCTGATTTAAGTACTTCAGTGATTCTCAATATCATTTCTTTCTTTGTATATTCCAGAAACATAAACAGCACTCTTTTATAGGAGCTGCCAGTGTTAAATGTACAATCAATTCTTTTAACAGAAGACTTGGATTTCAACACTGAAACTACTGACTGCACTGAGCATGTCTGAAGTTTTGTTGGACTTGCAATTTATTTCCTGCAAAAAATGAGGATCTGATTCTCACTGTGTTGCATTCATTTTACACTGCAGAATCCCACTGGTTTTGGCAGAGATGGACTGGACTGAAGCTGATGCGAGGCAGCACTGAGCATTCTGATTGCATACTCTCAAAAAATTCAGTTCCACATATAGCTCTTTACTTTATACCTGAGAGCCATCGGTGTTGCCTATGGATATAAAATATTCTTTGACCTCATCAGTAGATCAGTAAATTTTAGAATCAGTAGATTTTAGAATCCAAATGAGGGAACCGAACTTCTCATGGGGAAGCACATTCCCTGCTTTTCATGATACTTCTATATTTATAAATATATATATTAGAGACAACTGAAAAACTAAACCAGCTAGGATTTAAGAGAAAGACAGCTTCAAATATATGACAAAATAATAGCTCAATTCATTAATAAACACCCTCCATGAAATCTCTCTCTTACATACCCTTTCTTCTAATTAGTACCATTAAGGTGGTTATGGCAAGCATAAATTTAACTATCTGAACGGAAAAATAAGTGCCTGGAAGCAAATTTGCTACAACGAGAAGCAACACAGTGAAGCCTTCCTGCTATGCTTGCAGTGGTGGTGGTATTCACAGAGGTTAGGATTCCTTTAATGGCAACTGGGTAGGTTTCAACTCCTAAATGGTTGGCTCCAAGGAGACAGGCAAAGAAGAAGAAACTGGATTTCTGTCCTGATTTTCTTATATCCTAAACACCCATACGGCATTGAATTGGAATGTGAGGTTTCACAGGAGGCCTCCAGTTCAGAGGTTCAGATCTTGACAGTGTAAACTGTAAGGATCATACAAGCCTCATAAATCTCAGTTTATCATTCAGTCCTGAATTTTCCAGTCCACGCAAGCAACTGTCTATTGGAAACATTGTGCTTTGCTGCTTACACCTGCTTTGGATTCATAACACTGTGCTAACTACAAGTCTACTCTTGGTAGTTGGTCTCAACAGCAAAGTTAGAATTTATGTTCCTTCTGTACTGTGTTTCTCAAATGAGAAAAGAGAAAAATATCATTATTTTGTCTATATGCAGTCTTCCTTTACTTCATTCAGCCTGATAAAGTGCAACAGCTAAAAAAGATTTACCTTTGAGAACACTATTTTAAGGGTAAAATCAACAGAAACAAAATCAACATAAAAAAAAGCTTTTCAATCATTTTGATCGATATTCCCTACCTTTCATTTGGAAGGTAATACTTCTCTGTATCCATATACTTAATGAAGTCATTCTAACATCAACAACACTTATTCACATGCATCCTCTATTATAAAGTCCTCCTCTCTTAGAACTGAAAAATAATTTTAATAAACAAGCAGGCTTTTCTCTTATCAAAACAGAAAGGACAATATCTTCCATTTAAAAATAGAGCAAAAGCACAACCTCTTTTTGGGGGTGGGGGAAGGTAGAGGGAAAGAAAAAAAAAATATCATTTTGAGGATGAGACAAGACATTATATGCCAAGTTTCAAATTGGAAGAGTACGTTTTTACTGTTGAGTTATAAACCTGTAAAAACAGGTTATAATGGAAATGCTGGCAGAGGCTGCACTACTGTAATAAAACAGTGCATCACTAAATCACAAGTAATGGAAAAAAAACCACCTACGTGTTGGAGAGAGTGCTATAGAAAGTGTATGTCTTGTAATTACAACCTAAGGGGAAAATTCTTCCTGCCCTACTCTCGGGCAGAAAGGACTCTACATGTAGCAGCAGTGCTGTATTCGTGCTACAGTGAGTGAACACCTTATCAGAGGTAAAAAATGAGGGCTTGGAGGTTATGCTGATAGCCTTGGTGGAAACACAGACAGACTGGGAGACACTCATTTGAATTATGAAGGATATCCTCAGCCATTGGATATTTACTTTACAACTCCTTCCATTATCCTAGAAACTTAAACAATAGAAATGTGTGCCCATCACATACAGCTGCAGACAATTCTGACAGGGAATATCTATGCCATCAACAAATTTGTGAAATGAGAGCTGTTCATTATGCAGGATGCCAAAGATTCACTGACAACCCCCATCTCAGGTCTCTAATATACAGGCAAGAACGTACCTTCAAATGTGCTAGAAGTAGCTAATTTCACAGGAGTAAAATAGCACACACAAATGGCTAATAAGTCTGTATTCAAACTTGGGTTTTTTTCGATTTTAATATAAAGCTCTTGTCTGGTCACAAAAAAGATCTATGGGAATTTTGCCATTAAATGAAACACAAGCAGGGCTGGGCTGATAAAAGTAGTAATTAAAAAACTGTGAAAGAAAAGCAGCTTAAAATAACTGGTTAAACATATGGAAAGAGGTATGCAATCTTTTCTACTGAGGTAAAATAGCAGTTGCTAATGAGTTATACGCTCAGCTGAGACATGCCTCTGACTGTAAAACAAAGTTATGTAAGACGGGTTGACACTCACCCCAGCTTCGCAGGGAACTGTAATGCAGTAATGTGGGCTACTCTGACAAAGCTGCCCCCATACTGCCAACAACCTTGCACTTACTTAAGCTTTTCTATTCTGTAAAAAATGAACATCTGCTTTTACAGAGAATCTTATCACTGATAGCACAAGCAACAGATGATATTTAGAGATAATCCCATTCATGCACCTCCTGATGGGCTCTTCAGTATCCTGTACATCAGCCACAAAAGCCTTGCCTTGGTCTTCACCACCTTTAGCTTTTAATATTTGAACTCAAGCTTGGACTTAGTCAAGGGCTGGGAGAGAAACCAACTGTGTGTCCAGAAAAGAAACAACTGTCATGATCAGAAGCAGAATATTGCTGATTATTTCTTTCCTAGTTCAGCCATGTCCTTGCTCAGACACACCCTAACCTAATCTTCTCTTGCCCTGCACCTAATAACCACCATAAGATCCTCCCAAGCCTAGTAACTCTCTGCTTCCCATCCCCCAAATCCTTCTATCTCCGCCCTTTGCAGAAGGAGATGCTATCTTGCAATTATGCATCCAGCTTCTACAAATCACACCACTACATTGTTAATAAATGCATTAAATACTGCAGTGTACCTCACCAGGAGTCAGTACAAACATTGTTTATGGCTTGTCATCCAGCAGTATTTTTATATATCCACTACAGCATGCACATCTATGTTACTCACAGCAAGGAAAAGGTCTGACCAGGGAGGGCTCCAAACGGAGGCAAGCTTTAATCTGAAGGGAGGGGAGGGAAGGAGAAGCATGTAAAGGGAACCAAATACGTTGGACCTGAATGCAAACAGGCACAGGCTGAGCATCTGAACTCAGAAACGAGTCCCTTTCTGTTAGCTACACACTTTGAGCCTTATGTGCTTTATGGAATGTATTACTTAGACATTATAGTGAGAGACAACAGAGGTATCATTACAACAGATATCTGTTATGTGGGTTGTTTTTTCAGCTAATTTTAATGAGAGTGCCTTTGTCCTCTCCTGAGGTGCCTGGTTAGTTATGCCCATATCGACAAGCCTTTCTGAAGAAAAGATACAAATCTCCCAGAATCCATCCTTCAAATGACCATGCTTCTGAAGTAGCCGTAACAAATGAGGGGGCTGCTGCTTTTTGTTCTTCTCTTGTGTGGATTAGAGAGATTTACTATGCAACTAACCTGTTTTTCCAACAGCCAGCCCCAAACAATAAGCAGCGAAATATAGGGACTGTAAGAATGTAATCAGTTTAACTCTTCTGTGCTCACTAAGCGGTGGGTGCATCTTCCACAACTGTCAATAGTATTTTCCTATTAGCACAGTAGTACCATGTCACGCTGGAGTATGAATTACTTTCAACAGGGAAGATAAGCAAAGTGCGGGTCAGAGACCCAGGCCACTATAATAAGGGTCCAATTCAGCAAGGAGTA